CATTGCCACTATAAAGCTGAAATGCGCCGTAAAGCCGAGATCGTTCTAGTTAGTAGGGAAAGAGAGGGACTTTATGATATCGCATGTAATGGAACGTGTCACTTTGAGTTAAAATAAAAAATAAATAAAATAATTTATTCAAAAAATATAAACAGAAATTTCGTATGTCTTAATTCTATATGCTGCTATGTTATTCCATGTGCCTGAACTAGGTTTGAAACCTGTACCTCAGGCAATAAAAACCGCTTAGAATAGAGAACTTAAGGTCTAATTAACAATAATTATATAATCATTCTTATATTAAATTATTTGATTACTCAAATTTTACCTATATATAGAAATGTATACCTAATCACTTAATAAATTAACTTGTTTCTAATTTTATTTACATACAGTCAGCAAAAATTCGGTCTGGTCATAAGTCAGTTGTTGCAAATATGTGCTGACACGTTTTTTGCATTGATAGCAATTCAAGTTGTAAATACAAAGTTGCTTATTTAGCCTATTATATAAGTAGGGTCCTAGAAAACTATAGAATTTATTACTGTACATAAATTTTGAGGTCGAGTGCGAACTGCAAACTATATCATTTCGTCTCTTCTTTACAGTGTTGGTATCATAAGGGATCTGCGTGTGTTGCTTCAATATTACTTGCGTTATGTATAGTTGCCTTACAGTTAGTACCTTACAGGATTTGTATAGTTGTTCTGTGGGGAAAAGGAAAGGATAGGAGTGTGCTACTTTTAATATTGCTCTCTGTGCTCGTTCCAAAGACAGCATAGAGGTTTTAGGTACACCACCCCATGAGGTAATACAATAAGTGATAATGGACTGACATAGTGCCATGTACACTTGAGTTATTAATTTAGTATCGGCAATTTTTCGCAATATTTTAAATACAAACATAAGTTTGCGTACTCTGGATACCAAACTCTCAATGTGTGGCCGGAAAGAAAGTGTGTCATCAATAATGATGCCTAGATATTTTATGTGACGAGTTTTGAGGATTTTAGGACATTCACAGGGGTATGTCGAGAGGGCATTACATTTATGCACTGTAAGTTCATCGTTAGTAGTGTTAGTTTGATTTTTACGCATGGAAAAGAGCAAGTACTTTGTTTTGTCAACATTTAGTGTTAGTAAATTGTAGTTTAGCCAGTTATTTACAGAATTAAATTCCCTCTGAGCGTTCTCATAGAGTTCTGTGATTGTTTTTGCGGTAAAAATAAGCGCTGTGTCGTCTGCATATGATATTATTTTTCCGTTTTGTATGTTTAAATTACAGAGATCATTAATATAAATAAGGAAGAGGGTCGGGGCGAGAATACTACCTTGTGGTAATCCAAAACCATGGTTCCCTCGGTCTTCACTTGTGGTCGTATCAATTCGAACACATTGAGAGCGATCATTTAGATAGTTTGTTAGTAGTGTTAGTTGTGTACCCCTTATGCCTATTGCTTCCAATTTATGTAAAAGAAGAGGAATAGAAACAGTATCAAATGCTTTGGCTAGGTCTATAAAAATTGCTAAGCAGTGATTGCCTTTACCAAGTTCTTCAGATACGAAATTAGTTAGGCTATGAACAGCGTCCGCTGTAGACAGTTTTGATCTGAAGCCGAATTGCCTGGGTGAAATCAGGCCATTTTTCTCCAGATAATTTACTAAACGGGTGTTTATAATTTTTTCTAATATTTTGGATAACGAGGGCAGAATGGATATTGGTCTGTAGTTGCTTACAAGCTTTTTGTTTCCTGATTTAAAGATAGGTATTACTAAAGCTTTTTTTAGGGATGTAGGAAAGGTTCCTTTGGATAGACATAAGCGGAATATGTAGGTTAGAAGGGGCACTAGTATACTCTTACAACGTTTTATTATTCTGTTACTTATATTATCACAGCCGACCGCACAGTCATCTTTTAGTCCAGAGATTATTCTAGCTACTTCATTTTCATCTGTATCAAGCAACACAAAGGATTTTTTCTGGTTTGTAATTGTAAAATGCACAGGCGACTGTGTGCTTGGCGAATTACTCACTATCTGGTCTGCAAGATTTTTACCTACGTTAACAAAGTAGTTGTTTACATTGTTAGCTGATATCAGTGGTGTGTTATCACTGCACAAAAGGCCTGAATTTGATTCACGCTGTTTGGCTAAGTAAGTTACAGACTTTATGTGATTCCACAGTGATTTGGTATTGTTTCCGGCTTTTTGCAACTCGCTTCTATCGTATTCGGTTTTAATCTTTTTTAAGAGATTATTGCAGAAGTTTCTGTATCTTTTATATGTTAGTTGGAGTATGGCGTTATCTGGAAATTGTCTAGTTTTTTTATGAAGTTTGTCTCTATGTCTTATACAGCGAAGGAGGCCGGGTGTAATCCACGGTTTTAAATTGTGATTATTTTTGCTATTTCTCGATGTGGTGGTATTTCGTAAAATAGCTTGCTGTATAATATTTATTAAGTAGGATAAAGACAGAGTTGCATCAGCGGTACTATAAACTGGGTTAAAATCTGTGTTGCGTAAATCATTTTCAAGACGGTTCATATTCAATTTGGACTTTGTCAGAATTCTTTTTTGCTTATGGGACGTTAAATTTATTGTTAGTATTACAGCATGGTGATCGGTAATTGTTGAGTTAGTGACAAAGGTTATATATGCTAATTTAGACTTAATCATCACATGATCCAGACAAGAACCACTTTGATGTGTGGGCAGGGTATGTGCAGGCTGGAGCCCATGAAAGGAGCAGAGATCTAAATAGTTGTTGGTCCCTGTGTCAAGAATGTCAGAACCAATGTTTAGATTTATGTCACCAGTTAATATTATGTTCGGGAAGGGTGTTAGGGCTGTAAGGGTCTGATTTAGGGAAAGCAGAAACCTATCAGTGTTTCTAAAGGAAGGGGATCTATACATAGCTAATAGTGCAACATTCTTTCCTATTTTTACCGTGACACAGTTGCAGTCGTGTACGGTTGTTTCTTCAACTGTGGCTTCGAGTGTTTCTTTGATATATACTACGACGCCATCGTTTTGATTATATGTTGATTTACTACAGAAAGTCTGATATCCCGGTATTTGAGGTATATTTTCGTTTCTATTTGACAACCAACACTCTGTTAAAACCATAGCGTCAAAATTTAGGTTAGCTCTGTGCAAAAAAGTGTGAAAACTATCAATATTTTTGTAGATGCTGCGAATGTTTTGAGTGACTATTTTAAAAGAGTTTTTAAAATCCGAAAGATACTGTTCGCAGTCCTCCACATCGCATGCTTTTGTGATTGTTGGAAAACTATGTTCTACTTCATTAATTAGATTTTGATTCATGTAGTATCGATTTTAAAATTTTAATTTAGTGCTAATAATAATGTTGCAATGGCGCTCTTAGGCGCCTTCAAAATCGATCGAATTTATATACCTGAATTCGGCCGCCTTCTTTGCTGGGCAATCTTGTTCTCCTGTCTTGTGATTAGATGGTTTGTTGAATCGCAGGCACGAGGCACATTTCGGTGGGTCTAATTTTTTCGGGCAATCCTTGATTGAATGGCCCTCAGTAGCGCAATGTCCACAGGTTACAACTGGATTTCTGCAGAATTTAGCTGCGTGGCCGTATTGATGACAATTGAAACATCTAGTCACCAATGTGAAGTCTCTTACCGGGCAGGAGGTCCAGTTTATGAAAACTCGGTCTTGGGTGATGAGTGCTTTCCGTATAGCAGCTGAGACTTCGATAATCAGGTTATGATGATCAGTATCTTTTCTGCCGGATTTATGGCTTGTTTTTATTGAAGACATAAATGACTCCCTGGTCATGGATGGAATTTTGTCGGCCACGTTCTGCTCAAATATGCAGTTGTAGACTTCGGATTCTGGTATAGATGTCGGTACTCCTATAATGATTATGCGGGGTTTTCTTTTTTGCGGTTCGTTGATTGTTAGGTCTGAGTTTGATGACTGCACAGTTTTCATCAGTTTTTCGACGTCGTCCTTTGAATTCGTGCTGATGATAACACCTCCATTCCGAACCCTTCGTACTCCACGAACTTTTATTTTCATTTCCTCGGGGCACACGATTTTTTGAACCAAGCTTTTGGTGTCATCACTTGATTTCGAGTTATCCTTGGGATAAATCGCTACGGAATTGACATTTATTGGGCGCACAAAATCATTGGCTCCTTTTTTCACCATGTCTGCAAAAGTAGTGGTTTCCATGGTGGTTTTCCCACAAGATTCTTGTATGGTCCGCTTAATTTCTGCAGTCAGACTTTCTTCTTGGGCTTGATGTTCTTTAAGGACTTGGAGGGAATAGTGCGTCTGAGTGGCTTTTTGTTTGAGCGATTGATATTTGCAGGCTAGTTGGCCAACATTATGCCCAATTTTGCGACATAGGGAGCTCACCTTTAACTTTTGATCCGAGTTTAGCTTGCCTTCGCCAGTTATATGACATATCTCGTTTAGTTGGGTCTCAATGCATCCCATCCAGTGCTGTAGGTCTGATGTTGAGATCACTTCCATCCTCTCGTCTTGGCTGTGGCTCGGAGTTTGGGTTGGTGTCGGCGGTGGTGAGCGGCGCGTTAGTCCGCTTCTATTGAAGGGGCTGCTTTCCATAGTTTTTAAAGTTCAAGCGTTTACTTATACATTTCTTTATAATTTATAGATAGTAAAACATTTGAGTTTGCTTAGTGTTATAAAACACGTAGCGGAAGACAAGAAGGTTGTTGGACAAATAATTGTTTCCAACGTCCGGATAGAAATCTCCGCTTGTTAGATATGATTTGTTCCATATTTGGTCTTGTGTATGAATTGGATCAAGTTTCTAAAACCGGATTACATTGGTAAAAGAGTAGCTTTGTTCGTGACAACCAATAAAAGGAACTCAATGAAAAAGAGTACCCACGAAACGGCCATTTGATGGAATTACCAATCTTTATCTCGATAAAATTGTAGGTATTAAAAGACGCAAAAACCGCGGAACGAAACCAGCTACGAAATAAAAATAAGCTTCATCTGTATGGGAATAAGATTGAGTTTTGTTCGCGTATCATGTGCGGAGGTTTGGCCACTAATGATGGCAAAAACTTTGTGTTTGTATAACATTAAATTTATCACTTTCCCTGTATCGGACACCAGCTGAGCAGGACTAACGGCTGTTAATCGTGCGTCTGACATTACATTACTATCGTTACTAGAAATGAACTCGACAATCTATAATAATGATGTTTGTCATCCTCTGAAATGCCACTACCGAGTAAAAGGTCTCATTTCTTACCTAGGTAACTTCTTACAGGTCTCTTAAGGTACTTCAGATTTTTCTTCGGCCGGAAAAGACACTATTGGGGTTTTTTTAATCGGTGTGTGGACAGTTTAAAACTGCGACTACCGAGTTTATTTACAACATAAACTATAGATGTCCTGCATTCAACAGATGCACAATTGCACCTCTATCGATTCCTTCGGGGCATAAAAGGCGTGGTGCTATTAGATTAATGATATCTCATGATGTCTGTAGGAAGTATTTGAATGTTATTATTTCCTGTTCGACATACGTAGTAATGTATTATAGACATTTGAATTTGGACCAAATAGTGATGATGTCACTATATCGAGGAAACCTTTTAAAGGAGGAAGCTGGAAGATATTTTGTCTTTACTAAGAATTGATAAATTTATAATTACTTTAGAGCAGTCTATGCCGTTTACAATTGGGTAGTTTCCAGGGTATCAAAATTAAATATCTAATAAGTCCGTCACTTAGATAATGAAAAACTATTAGAGCAGTATTTTTTTTATTTTCTCGTATTAAGTTGCAATACTTAGATAAAATGGCGCTAAGTTTAGGAGTGGGAGTTGTTACGTCATAACGTGCTACAAAATGTGGCACGCTGTGACGTCACACGACATTTCAAATTAATATATCGTCGAAAGTATTTAATTTTGTGAGAAAATAAAAATTACGTGTCTAATGTTTTAAAATAATCTACCAGACGGACATTAAAATAAAAATTAGGCGTCTACCCTATTACCTTATACGCATGGCTATACTTTTAACTACACTAAAATAATTTGGTAATCGTTTCGCTTTATATGATCTTTGTACACATTCGCTGGTCACCTTAAAATGGTTTTACATAGCTTGATGTAGTCGTGCGTAAAAACACAATGTATGGTAAATGTGGACAAGTTTGATTTACGTACATTCTTCGCAATGTTTCCGTTCATTTTGCAGTTAAGTTACAACATCATCGTAAAACATCCAGCCAACCTTTTGAAAGCAAATACTTCAATAAAATTATCGCTTTTATTATATTTTCAACAGTTTCGTAACGTCCAATAGTAGGTGTAAGAGTTTCCTCAGACTTAGTAGCCTTTAACGGCAATAATCTTTATAGATAACCCGACCATAATAACCACCATTAAATTATTAGTACTAGACGTTAATACGATGGCTTTTTATCACTCTAGAAACGCTATTACTCTTAGTAATAGCGCTGGCAAATTACCATGGTAACTATAGTTGAAAACCAATTATTGCAATTTATGACTTGTTATTAACTGGTTTCAGTGCCAGAGCTTAAAAATTAATCACAAACTAAATATTCATTGAGAAAAGATTTTCTAGAAATATTGATGTAGGTATCGCAATATGCTCACCCTTATTACACGGGACTCATAACATAAATACTGAAAAGTGGGTGTTACATTGTACAGTGGAATTGAATACCGTAATGTACACCTCTGCCTACCCCTTTGGGGATAAAAGACGTGATATTATGTGCATGTGTGTGTGATTGATGTAGGTATGTTAGAGGTTAGAGTACAAAAGCGTCAATAGCAGCAAAAACGAAGGTCATGAATACAATACAATGGTATAATAATACATGGTTCTGGAAACAGATTTAAATTTACAATCAGTCTCGAACACTACAATATCATACCTAACTACTGAACACTATTCAAAGAAATATCAGTTAGGAATGTAAAGCAACTATTAAGAGTCCAAAACCATTTTTGGTGTATGATACTTCAATAACCGAACTCGACAGCAACTCGAACTATAGCTGTCGAGTTAAGGAGACCATGGTAGCCAGTCTCACCACCCAGACAGTTGAACGACCGATTGCAACGTCCGAGGCAATACCTTTTACAAACCACGGAAAGCAATGAAATGCGGCGTACTTTCAAAACTGCTGTAAAGACTAGCTACTCCTATGGTTTTACCGGCTCTGGTCGGCTACTGTTGATCGTAGCGGGATATTTTATAGCCTTTAGCTCGATAAATGGACTATTAAACACAAAAACATTTTTTCAAATCTAACAGGAGCCGGATATAACCACGTTCAAACAAAAGGAACAAACTCCATGTTTATAAACAGACCACAAACATTGGATCGGATTTTGGACTTACCATCCCAAAATTTCTCAAAAATATTAGGAGAACGAGATAAAACGGGATTGCGCATACGAAGTCGCAGGTAGAAATAGTCTAGATAGGTACGCGAGAACTAGGCATAACTGAAACATGGTTCAAAGAGACGATCGCAGGATAAGATCGCAAGATACATAATGATATTGAGAGAGAAACCAGATAGAAACTATGAAAAATATGGCTGCTCCAACTGGTGATATATAGGCGTCATAGTGATCTTATCTTCGTGCTATATGGTAGATGTAACGCTGAATTAAATGCTGCTGAGACTGTGGGACGATTTTCCAATGATAGTATCGGTTGGTCTTTATGCGTTTGAGGATTCACTAAATGACTGGAACTGGGGCTCCAGAGTCCTAAGTACCTCTATATAGTGTGTAGGCTTAAAGGACCCGGTGCCCTATATAGGTGAAGATTGTTACCACCGGGGGTGGGTTTTAGTGAGGTTAGAATCGCGCACACCCTAGATTTCTCCCCACAAGGTTAGACACCTTTGGAAGGTTCCCCTCCGTAATATAAAAAAAAGAAATAACTGTAACAGAGTTTGAAGCAACTGATGTAGAACACCTATTTGTTTAACATATTTTTACGACCAAGCATTAAATGTTCTTTGGAAGAAAATTTTCTTTTATGTTCCAATTGCTAATTAGCTTTTTATCTTAACTGGGGTCGATAGTTTAATAAATTGAGTGATTCAAAGAATAAATTACCGACTTCATTGACTTAATTTAATTAAGTATAACACCAAAAAAATATTTTAAAACGAAAAGAAATAGCAAGTCATTGGAAAGAAGAAAGAAATACAGATTATAAAAAATAGCAAGCACAATCGAATAACTAAATTCATTAAAGACCATCTCAAAGAATAACAAAATTCGGCCTTCTATAATTATAGTAGAGTAGAGTAGAACTCTAAGTAGAGAAGGTATGTCCAACATTGGACCTCTTGTGACTGATAATATGATGATGGCGATAAAGAAAGACCTACCAGTCACTTGTTGAGTCCCCAATAATCGATAAAACAATTATTTCGCAAATAAATACAGGTCGATGGTATGTACATTTCAGTACTATTACGGTAATTTTATTCAAACACGGTTTTAATGACGTTAATATTAGATACAGTTTAATAGTCTATAATAATAAATAGAGCGAGAAATATTCCATTACCTACTAACAATTTGAATTTATCGACAATTTTTTATAACATATAAAATATATCGTAAAGTGAAAACAAACTGATTTGTCCTTCGAGTCGTGAGCGCAGCAGCTACTGAACACTATCGATCTGTGGTTTATGAAGCACTAGCTTTTACCCGCGGCTTCGCTCGCGTCACAAAAGGATAAAAAGTAACCTATGTGACATATACCAATACACACAGCGCCATCTATACCAATACTTTTGTTTTCCCTTGGCAATATCAAATTTTTCTGGGATAAAATAATAATAATAATATAATAATATAAGCCTTTAATCAGACAAAGTATTTACATTAAAATAGTTTGCAATTGTGACTCTGGTGAGTCATTGACACCAACAAATTCGTCTGTTTGCCCAGCTTTGGCAAAGGCCTCCTCCATCTCTTTCCACTCTGCTCGGTTTAGCGCTGTTCTAGTCCATGTTTTTCCTGCTATTGTTCTTATATCGTCTTCCCATCTTTTGAACTGTCTGCCTCGTTTTCTTTTTCTATTTCTAGGGTACCAAAACACTATGCTTTTGTTCCATTTTTCGGAGCCTCTTATCGTATGACCTGTCCATTGCCACTTAAGTTTACGAATTCTGGTCGTTATGTTTTCTATTTTAGTGCGATTTCTGATAGTTTGATTGCGTATTTTGTCAGATTTTCGTATATTCAGCATGCTTCGTTCCATTGCTGACTGGCAAGTTTCTAATTTTTTGTTTTGAGCTTTGGTGAGAGCCCAGGTTTGGCACCCATATGTTAGAACTGGTAGGACGCAGGTGTTGTAGAGCTTCGATTTAACAGATATCTTAATTTCTTTGTTTTTCATAATTTCTTTTAGTCTCCAGTAACAATTCCATGCTTTTCCTATTCTTGTGTCTATTTCCTTCGTCATTATTTTGATGTTTGAAATTTGTTGGCCTAGATAGGTGTATTCTGTCACATACTCGATCAGTTCTCCATTTATGATAATCGGGTCCTCCAATGCATTCGTTAGTGCTTTGGTTTTGGATGTATTCATTGTCAGACCTACCACGCTGCTTTCTTTTTCCAGATCTATGAGCATTTTTTGCATTTGGTCTTTTGTATCAGCGAATAACACGATGTCATCAGCAAAACGTAAGTGGGACAGTTTTTCTCCGTTTATGTTTATGCCGTACTGATCCCAATTAAGTTTTCGAAAAATGCCCTCTAAAACAGCTGTAAACAATTTTGGCGATAACGGATCTCCTTGTCTTACTCCTCTATTTATTTTTATTTCTTTTCCTTCTTTTTCCAATTTTATTTTCGCTGTGCTGTTTGCGTATATGTTTTTTATGATTCTGATGTACTTTTGTTCGACTCCTTGGTTCTTGAGGCAAGTCCAGATGTACTCGTGTTCGATTGAATCAAATGCCTTGTTGTAGTCGATGAAACAACAATAGAACGGTACTTTGAATTCCTTGTTCTTCTCGAATATTTGTCTCACAGCATGTATATGGTCCAGTGTTGAATAGCCTGCCCTAAACCCAGCTTGTTCTCGAGGTTGGTTCTCGTCTAAAGTTTTTGTTATACGACCTAAAATTACTTTTGAAAAAATTTTATAAATATTAGACATTAGACTAATGGGTCTGTAGTTGTTTATTTCTGACTTCTCCCCTTTTTTATGAAGGAGAATAATTGTTGATGTAGTCCACTGCGTCGGTATTGTTTCCGTGTCTATAATATCGTTGAAAACACATTTTAGTAACGGTGCAATCCAATTTCTACAGCCTAAAAGCAGTTCGTTCGTGATACCATCGGGACCCGGGGCTTTGTCGTTCTTCTGTGTAATGATTGCTTTGTGTATTTCTTCTACTAGTATGGGTGGTACATTGTCGTAGTTGTTTAAGTCTGTATTGATTATTTGGCTCTTGCTGGAGTATAGGTTTTTGTAGAAATTTGTGGCTATTGATAGGATTTCTGTTCTTTTGGTTTTTGTTTTACAGTGTTGGTCTTTCATGTTAGGTATCCAGTTGGTTTTACCTGTTAGGACTTTAAGAGCCTTCTTTATACCGCCAGTCCTTTTAATATGTTTTTCCAGAGTGTTGAGTCTCGAATGTTCTCTATCTTTTCTCATTTGTAGCTTTATTTCTTTGCTCAGTTTGCCAATTTGTTCTCTAATAGTTTTTGTTTTGCTTGTTGTGCTAATTAGTTTTGATCTCTTTTGTAGGAGATCGTGGGTTTTTTCAGATATTTGGCTTTTATTCTTTGATTCGCTTTGGTTGGTATTAGGTTTTGCTGTTAACATTTCGTTTATTATGTTGTATTTCTCTTGAGTGTTTAAATGCTCAAGACATGATTGTGACATCGAGCGGAGATTCTCTTGTATGGTGACTATTGCTGCATTGTTGCCTAGTATTGTGGTTTTCGCTTTGAAGGGTCGACTTGATTTTTGGACAGATGATGTGTTCAGGCGTGCTCTAAGCATTCTGTGGTTACTATTAAAGTTTAGGTTTGCGATAGTGGCGCAGTCATCAAATGACTTTGGTCTGTTTGTTAGCACGTAGTCAATTTCATTTTTGTATCTGCCATCTGGTGATACCCAGGTCCACTTTCTGGATAGTCTCTTTTTGAATTGACTGTTTAGTATTTTCATGTGATTCTCGAATGCCATTTCCATTAATTTTTGTCCGTTTCTTGTTCTTTTGCCGCTACTGTAGGGTCCCAGGACGATATCCTCTCCATTCCTTGGTGGTCCAATTTGAGCATTAAAATCTCCCATTACAATATAGTTTTTGTGTGCATGGTCCTTAATGGCATCATTTAAGGAGATGTAGAATGACTCAATTTCTGATTTCGTTGATTGTTCGGTTGGTGAGTATACTTGCACTATAGACCATACTTCTTTGCCAGGGGGTATTTCTATGCTCAAAATGGCTATTCTTTCTGATATGCCAATTATTTCCGAAATTGAATTTTTGAGTGTTTTCTTTATCAGGAATCCTACTCCATGACGTCCTGGTGTTTCGCCTTTATGGTATAATATAAAGTTATCATGTTCCTCAATAGCTTCGCCATATCTTCTTACTTCGCTTAAGCCGATTATGTCCCATTTTATATCTCGCAAAGAATGTAGAAGTTCTTGCAAGCTTTCTTCGGTCCTGAGTGATAGTGTGTTGTATGTAGCTATATATATATATTTTTCAGTTTGTTGTTTCTTGTATCTGAAAGCATTCTTGTTAGGTGGAGAGATAGTATTTGGAGGGTAGTGGTCGTCTTCCCCCACGGTGACCATCCGTCTTGGGGTGAGTGTATGGGTAGTTTTTTTGTTGTAAATATTGTTGGTTGTTTTCGGTTTCCTATTGTCGGTGTCTATTGGTCGTTTTTTGAGGTTGTGGGTTGAGATAGTGAAGCCGATCTGCCTCGTGCGACGTAATCTAGGATGGGATAAAAAGTACCCTATTATTTAATCCAGACGTCTAACTTTACGTCTGCAAAAATTCAAAGCAATCGGTTTAGTAGTTACGGCGTGAAATCGGAACAAATAAACAAACAAACTCACTTTCAGATTTATAATAATATAGTAAGGATTACTGTTATTTTTTCGGTATGGAGGTGATCTTAATGTTTGGAATTAGGCATATGGGTACCATTTACAATAGAAAAATAACATCTACTTGTTTTATTTTATTCGGTACGCGAATGTGATCGCCAAGGTCGTGTTTATCGAAATATTCACATCCTAAATAAATTTCATTCAAGTAACTCCTGCGCAGATCTCTTGTTTTAAATAAAACGAACGCGTCTGCGCAGAAATCGGGTCCATTAAACTATTGCCCCACATTTACAATCAGTGAACCACGACCATTTACATAGCAAATGTAGGTAGCAAGCCGATTAGCTGGTATTTTGTTCATGTATTAAGTATATGTAACAGCTATAACTATAGGTACTAATATTATAAGGTGGAAACAATGCATTGTTTTTTTTAATGGAATATGGCGGCAAATGAGCAAGTGGATCACCTGATGGTAAGAACATCCGCAACGCCTGAGCAGTTATAACTATAAGTGCGTTACAGGCATTTAATGTTGTTTCACGTCAGTTTTCTGTGAGGCCGTGGTATCACTCAATTCGCGCCGGCGCACGACGACTTATCCGACGAAAAGCTTTTTCTTTGCATTGATTAGACTCCGAATATATAGAAAAAGTCTTTTGTCCTTCGAAAGCTTACTTTTCAAGTTATATATCAACTTATTATGTCTGTATTCCTACATACTTTATAGAGTAGATATAGGTAGAGAACTGCTGGAGAGAAATATAAAATTTCAGGCGAGTGAAGCCGCATGCAAAAACCTACTAGACATTTAAACATAAAACTAAGATAATTATTATCTAAAGAACAACACGTATGGGGGTTGACATCATTTTCTGTAGGTACCCACACTGTTGTTAATTTATTTATTAAACTGTCAAATACCAAGCGGTCACCGGTGACCGCAACCTATTGTTCTATAATTGTGTCTACAAAACCGGTACTCGACGAGTTAGATAACAATTTTGAAGGCTGAAACTGTAAGTAGGTTTTTAAAAACAATTGCTCATTAAAATACTCTAGTTATTTTTTTAAAGAGAAGATAATTGTTATATCTTTGAGTCGAAGAACAATACAAAGTTTTTTGCATGAAGTCGTGAGACATACTAAATGACTTCAAAACACACACGAAATACTGAGAAAAGCTGTACTAGTTTAATATAGTAAATAGTTTAGGAAGCATATTTTAAGTTACTATATCGAATTAGGTTAAGTTATCTGTAATGGTAAAGTAATTGGATTAAATAAATAAATAGTTTCGAGTCACAGAGGAACTCTTCATCATGAGCAGAGTGTGTGCGGACGCGGCGTTAATACATACTTACATCATCTAATAACAAACACTATCTGAAAGTCTATTTAGTTGTCAGGAAGAACTCTCTCAGACTAATATAAACTCAACAACAGGTGACTCATTTCCAAAAACATCCAAAGAGCAAAAATTTCAATAATGTTACTATTCACATCATCATTCATACACATAATATAGGTAACAAAAATGAAACAAACATCTTTCTAATATTACACGGCCTCGTGGAGCGCACTGCCAAAGCTTACTGTCATATATTTGCGCACACGCATGTTACCGTTACGTTAACTTACACCTGTTTAGTTTGTGACATTGAAAAGGTATTTTCGTTTGACCGTCAATACATTGTATGTAGGTATGTTTGTTTGTAATTATTCATAAAATATTATGTATTACAAGCATCTGGTAGTTTAATTTTGAATTAGTTATTAATGAAGATTCCCTCTAGTAAGCGTCCTTGGGACCTACTGGATTTTGAAGATATGCTGATAGAAAGAAGAAATGGTTTAGTGACAATTTCTTCCACCAGTGGGGGAAGGGGGAATCTACAGATCTTTGAAATTGTTAAGCGTAACTTTTGTTCTAGTGGTCGAGCGTGTCAGATATTGATAATGTACATGCTCCATGTGTATTTAATAATAAAAAAACTCTTAATCTGCCAGTTTGCATGGTGGGGTTGAATGTTCTGGAGAGTACAAACGAGAACCCTTCAAAATCCCCCCACTCTTGCAAATCAAGTTGGAATGGGCAGATTTTTTAAAACGCACTTCCTTTAGCACGGTATTGACCTACCTTCCCTTAATCTGACGAAACTGACTTTATTTAGTCAGACTTTTTTTTAATTTTCAGTCCCCCCCCCCTTCTAATCAGATCGGATATATGTTGGGTATATTCAACATGACACTAGGTTTTCCCCATATGTTAATCTGACGCGCTCGAGTAACTACCGAAATCCCTTCATGGGCTCCCCTACTACTCGGTTGTTTCCAAGGTATTCAATACTTATATAAGTAGATAGTATATCAGGATAAATAAGGACTTTGAAATCTGATTTTTTACTCATTACTAGATCAATTCAGTCATAGATAAGATGAATTTTCGAAACATATTTAGAAGAACCTCAAAATGTTTCGATACATTTCAATTTTGATAAAAAGAACAACGTAGAACAGTTTTTCTTATTTATTTGAAAGTTCCCACGATCCAAAATTCTATATGAAGTTTTCTAAACGTAGTTTCACAAACCTACTTTTCACTTCTCTGTAATCGGATAATAATACAGATTTATCTTACAATTCATTACATTAATTCACTATTAATTACAGTGGTCTTTAAATAAGCAATCACCATAAAGCAAGACTTGAAGCGAATTCTTAATATTGCCTATTAAAAAGTTACACAGAACCAATTAAGGAATTACAAGACGAAATAAAACTAATTTCTTGGCACTGAATATTTCATCTCAACTCTGTTTCATTGCAGAAAACAATACACCTTTCAAGCCTTGAAGGGGTATTCAGATGTGCACCTATGAAAATTTTTAAATGTACCACTCATTTTTCGCCAGATAAAAGTTACTTTGAATTTTTAAGGGGGGAAAATCATCGAATGACTGCTTCCGCCTGGGTGAGTTACCCGTTAGATTCTCCGCGATAAGTTACTTTGAATAATGGTAATGTTCTCTAATCTAAACTAATGTATGAGGATGGAAAATCATCAAATGACTTCTTTCACCCAGAATGACTTCCTTCCTTCCACACTCTTGTCTCTTACTGACATTAAACACCCAATGCCGGGGAAGCGGTATAATGTAGTATAAGGCCCTTGCTTTCCTGCCATCCCAATCACTAAGTACCCTACCCCGAGTAATCCAGGATTCGTTCTATTTAACCATATACAAATAGATATTAACAGTTTAACTGCCAAGTTTAAAGTGGTGAAAATCAAACCTCCACTAGCGTCAGGCACTGGTGACTAACGTGGCGCTCTAAGGGTTAACGTCGTTATACAACTAAGAAACAATAAAAAATCCATTGTGTCTCGAGTGCAACAGCGTCTAGGCAAAAGACGAGAATTTTTACAATTAATATTCCTACCATCACAAAATGTGTAGACAAAAAAGATTAAAAACCAATTTATACAGACAGATAATCAAAATTAATTTTCCTGGCACTGAATACTTTATCTGAACGGTATTGTATTAGCCTTTGTTTTATTACATAACAATGTTATACAACAGCTAAACGCTATTATACAATTATTATTTCACTGCTCGATATAATTTATTTATCAATAGCCGAAAGCTATTTAGGTAATACTGTCTGCATTTGCTATCTAGGGATACCTTTCTTATATGCCATCAGACAAACTTGGAACCATTTGAAATAATTTGGACACCAATATATCTACATGACTTGATTTCTCAATCAACACCACTTAATACTTTAACTGTCTACTACTAGACTATTATTGGTCTAGTACTTGACTATTACTGGTCTACTACTAGACTATTACTGGTCTACTACTAGACTATTTTAGGTCTACTACTAGACTATTACTGGTCTACTACTAAACTATTACTGGTCTACTACTAGACTATTTTAGGTCTACTACTAGACTATTATCGGTCTACTACCGGTCTCCTCTATACCTATAGGGATGAGGGTTTGGGGTTGTATCTAGAAAATAACTTAAAAATTTTTCTCTTAAATACAAAATTCATAATGAAGAAGTGTTATTGTTCAGTTGAGTTATTCGACACTGAAATAGACGATGGATGATGACGTCATTACTTAAGCAGTAGTTAACGACTTAAAACAATAGTCATAGGTATGTGGTTCCCATAAACAGGCACGCATAGTTTTCCCACAGGGATTTCCATGATACGACAAAACAAGGTAATTAATTTGAATTGCATTGGGATGATATAATACTTACTCCAACATTACTGTGTTACAGATTTGCAACAGTACGTACGTAACTTTAAGTAGGTAAATGATGTTTTCAATGAATGTTGATAAAAAGTAAATAACTTCAATATGCAAGATCGCATGAGATACCAAATACTTAATAACGGCAGATGTATTGCAGGTAGGAAATGGCTTTTATTTAAGGGGGGAAAATCATCGAATGACTGCTCCCGCCTGGGTGAGGCGGGATACTGTCAGACTCTTACTGACTAATAACCACCCCGTTCCTTCTTCTGCACGTCGAGCCGGAGCCCCGGTTACCCGTTAGGTTCTCCGCGACAGGAAATGGCTTACTAATTTTTTAAAACGAAATCCTGTTTCTGTACGCAAAGTACTCAAAAATTTAAAATAAGAACTGCTCAGTATATAAAGATTTTTTCATACTGCTACAACACACAACAAAGTAAAACGTGTGTACAATA